AAAAAAAAAAAAAAAAGAAATTGTAGAATATTACACCACCTTATGAATCCTTATGGGATTTTGACTGGAAACCGCAAGTCTTAACAACTAAGGCTGCGATAGCTGTTTTTGAGGACCACCCTAATAAATCTAATTAAGATTACGATTTCAAGATATGAGGGACTTCGAGTATGTCCAAGATTGTAACTAATGCACAAAGTCTAACAGTTTACCAAATCAGAAAACTGAAATTTAATAATAATGTAATGTGTAAAATACAGTAGACACTTTTCTTTGGCTCCTTATTGTAATCCTGCGTTGAACACATTTGATTTGAAGATAGGAAAAAAAATCCATTATGAAATTCGTTAAGAATGAATCTATGAATTAGATTGTCAAAGCATTTTTATTTTAATACAGTTTCCATATGAAACTTGTTTTTCATCTAGTTTCCTTACATGCACGTGCTTCATCTTTTTAACAGTATTGCTTACAGTGACACATTTGATTGACTTCTTATATCAGTGACATTCATAATCATAACAAGTAAAACTGCCGTGCAGATTGCCACTGTGGAAGTACCAGAAGAACACATGGGAGCAGTTGTAGAACTGTTGGGCAAGAGGCGTGGACAGATGTTCGATATGGAGGGTGTAGGGTTTGTACACGTCTCTTTGATTTCTGTTCCCTCAATCAAAACATTGACACGTTGGATGTGATTTGGTTAATACTTTCAACAATGTCATCATACGAACTGATGATCAGAGAATTAGTAGCTTGACTAATGTGTTGAGTTTGATAACACAATGACTTGACAATCAACATGACATACCTATAGTATCGTGAGCTTAAATTTAGGTTCACAAATAGGCGACATCCAGTAGTATTTAAACAACTCATCTCATTGTTAAAACTCTATCTAGGAGAGGCCTGTATCACAAATTTAATAGAGGACGGTGGCATACTGTTGCTGTTACTGCGACTTACTAATCCACATGCATAGCATATTTACATTCTGATGATGTTAAATAATGTATGTACTATGCTATAGGATATTTTATCAAAATTGTGCTCTATTATTCGAGAATCATCTACATTTTCTATGTGCAGTCTTTACCTATAATGAGGAAGGGTCATAAGTGAATTTTACTTTTGTTACTTAGAGCAGTTTTAATTCTTCTAATTTCTATCAATACCTATTTCCAGGTCTGAAGGGACGACTTTTCTGAGGTATAAGATTCCAACTCGGGGGCTTCTTGGATTAAGAAATGCCATTTTAACAGCTTCACGTGGCACAGCAATTCTCAACACAATATTTGATTCTTACGGACCTTGGGCTGGTGACATTCACACTCGTGATCAGGGTTCACTGGTAACTTAATTATCTTGTTACGTGAATTATTTTGATGGGGAGCTTTAACTATTGCTTTAAATATTTGGGGGTTCCATATGTGAAGAATTATTCTGGCATGTTCTGTATTTGTTCTTGTTTGGTTTTGGCGGTAGAATGTTGAAAAGTTTTCCTGTAGCCTCGGCCTTTCTTCTTGCGTTCAAATCTTTTTATTGGAACTGTTGCTTCTCTTGTTATTACAAAAAAAAAAAAAAAAATGCTGCTTTTATGTGTTTTGCTTGGTTTACGGCTGTAGCCAGTAAGAGACCTTGTGAATTAGTGTGAGGGAAGTTTGTCTCACTTTTCCTCCCACTATATATCTGCAGTCTTTTAATATAGTTTATATTCTATTATTGATCCCCTGAACTTCATGTTTAGATGTTTTGTTCCGTTAATTTTCAATATTTTGATTTGTTCTTTCAACTTTGAAATGTTTTGTTTTAGTCTATTTTAGTCCTAACGATTAGTTTTCCATTTATCAATAAACAATAACAGAATGCATAAAAGTTTAGAGACAAAAACAGAAATTTAATATTTTGAAACACAACTTATTTTTAACTCTTGCAATGCTATCATTTTTATCTTGTGAAAATTTATGATAAAGGATATGTAATAAAAAAAAGCGTGTGTTATACTTCTGACTCATCGAAAAATTAAATAATGCCTGATGAAGCTGGTGCGAATGATTTTTCAGGTTGCTTTTGAGGAAGGCACAACAACATCTTATGCCCTTGCTAGTTCACAGGAGAGAGGGCAGATGTTTGTGAGTCCTGGCATAGATGTTTACAAAGGTCAAATAGTTGGAATTCATCAACGGCCTGGGGACTTATCCCTTAACGTGTGCAAGAAAAAAGCTGCCACAAACGTTCGCTCCAACAAAGAACAAACAGGTGAGAACAACTCAGTCACCTCAATTATTTTTTTAATGCTGAGGTTGGAGTCTTACCTCCGCTTTAGTTTTTAACTCAAAATAGATATTGCACTTAGGATCCTCCTCACCTGCCACCATTACAAACTCCTCTCTTAGGGTACGGGTACTATTAATCAAATGCTTTTCGTCAATTAGAAACAGTTTTTGGTTACGTAATCAATAATTATTCTGAAAAATATGAAGACAAGTTAAAAGCACCTTAAAATGAATTTGTTATTAGAAAATTTAACCGTAAAGTAGTGGTAGAGACTTAAGATTTATTGAATGCACATGGACTAAATATGAACATATAAAGGTTTAAAAGAGAATAAGTCCCAACCTAGACCAAAATGATACCTACCCTATCAAATACTTGGAAAAAAATTCTTCTATATTCATTTTAGAAATATAAGAGATGAAGTTACACTAAATAATTTTTTTGCCTTTTTGCAGTGGTTCTCGACACCCCATTGGATTATAGTTTAGATGACTGTATTGAGTACATTCAAGAAGATGAACTGGTTGAAGTCACTCCCTCGAGCATCCGAATGTGCAAAAATGCAAAACTTACGAAGAAAACAAGGTAGATATTTGTTACCAAGAAACTTCACAGTACGAAAAACGCGGTTATGATAGTCTCTATACTGCAGCAATATTTGTTTGAATTCATAAGCTTTAACAGAGCTTTTAGTCAATACTAAATGGTTTAAGCATCAAGCTACCATCTACAATAGTTTGTATTATTTGTACATAAGAGAGGACAAGACATTACCATCCAAAGGGGTGATTGATTGGTAGAAACTAGAAAGTGAACCAGCCTCCTTTTTCCCTTATATTTTGAACGTAATTTTGACCTCTGCTGTTGCTTGGAGGTTTCCTTGGCTCCAATCATATCATATTAGTCTATTTTTACTTTTGCAATATGCTTGTTTATTTGCACGCGATGTTTTGTTTTGATTTGATTTTGATTTTGCTTACTTTATAGCCAAATGAGTATTAAATAAATTTGATGAAGTATTAATAATAGCTAATTTAGTGCTTATGATATGTGATTAGTTTCTGTTTAGTTCTGAGTATTAACCTTTGAACATAACTTCACTTTGATTCCTATAATTTAAAATTTTTAAATTTATTTCTATAGTTTTGTCGAATCTCTCTCGAACAGTTACCATACAATATTAGCATTTTTTTTATTGATTGTGAGCTAATATTTTTATTTGGTCTATTGTATTAGTCAATTATATTAAAAGTCTAGTAGGGTTGAGGAAAAAAAATATAATGAAATAAGTACGTGTTTCGAGTAGATAAAAAATCGTTTAAACTAAGATGATTTGTGAAGTTCTGTTAGAGAACTACATTGAAAATTAGAATCATAGAAATTAAAAAAGAAATTAGGTATATAATTCAACTATATATCTATTACTACGCAAAAAGATGATCGTCCGAGATCAATTATTGACCCGTAACAACTAAAAGAAGTCTTGTAAAGACAACCTTGTATAAACACACAGACTAATTGCCCATTTCTTACTTACAAGTTCTTAAACTAAACCAACTAGAAACCAAGATCAATTCTTACTTACAAGTTCTTAAACTAAACCAACTAGAAACCAAGATTTGATCTTGGTAGAGACGATGTATAATATAGCTTTCCTTTGTTCTTTCAAGTAAAAGAAAAATGTAAAACTGTTTTTGGAGGGTTTTGATTATCCATCTCCTTAATTAATTACAAAGTGAAACAAATTCCAACTGCTCTCATCAAAAGAGAGAGGAATTCAGAAGAAGGAGCGCTTGGCTGGTGGCCTTCCAACTGCTCTCATCAAGTTTGATATTTCAGTGACCTTCGCAACTTTTGTTCCCCTCTTGGCCTCAGCCGATGCTCTTCTTTCCTCTGCTTTTCTGCGCGCCTTCGCTACTTCATTCTCCATCTTTTCAAGCGCTTTTGCCCTCCTCTCTTCCAACCTCCTCTGCACATAATATTCAAATTCTCACTTCATCCCATTCATAATGTATGGATCATGGAACTATATGTTCATTCTTTTTATCTTTCAAATTTTCATGTTATTTTTATTTAACTTAATCATCTTCTATGAAAACTCTTATCTAAATTAAGTGTTAATTTTGGTTATTAGGTAACATCGTTTCTTAACACATTTGGTATCAAATTAATGATTTGAATAATATGTCTCACTATAACAAACAAAGTGTGGCAGAATTTAAAGTGAACAGCTGAGTTTAAAACTAAATTGTTCTACATTCCAGAAGCACGCTATTAGTTTCACAAAAAATTTAGAAATCAAAAGTGATTTTCACTTCTTGTAGTAGATGATGATGCGTTAGGTTTCAAATGAATCTAGACTTGTATTGAAGAATCAACCAAAGGAATTTTTCAAAAAAGGACGGTAAAACTAAACGTGTTTTTTACTCAGATTTTAGAGAGAGAAAAATAGAATATTGAAAAGGTGAAAAAGTAGAATGAAATAGGAAGGAAAGTTGTGGTTAAAAAGTGAATCAGATTGAAAAAAACGTTCACATGTTCAACCACACTCATGCAATAACACTAATTGATCATGAATGACCTCTAAAAACAAAGTAGAGCAATTAATTATTGAATCAATCTATCAACTAACACAACGCATTACTTCAAACAGAAATCGCCATTTTCAATTTCAAATCACGTACCTCGACCTTCTTCATCCACGAAGATGCCTTCTGAACCTGCTCCCTCTCCCATCCACTGATCACTGCATCTTCTCTCTTGAACCGATTGTTAATCTTTGCAATCTTCGCGTTCTGCCATGCGCTAATCTTCGTCTCCACCTCCTCCTTCTTCACCATCTGCAACGAAATCTCTCTTGTCGCTGCTGCTCCTCCGCCGCTATTGTTCTCCTGTCTTGTGATTGACGACGGCGTTAATTGATCATCAAACGGATGACCGTCCGGTACGATCGCCAACGGATTCGTCTCCTCCTCAGGCGTAGCCTGATCTTCCTCTCCAATCCTGCTCAAGTTATTCGGAGCTTCGTTAATCGGCCGGTCCTGGCGATAACCGTCACCGATCTCCGCGCCGGCGATCACCAGAGCATTGAACTCTCTACTTATGGAAGTAAAATTCTCACTGGAAGCGCCTTCGCTCGCCATTGAAGTCGATCTCTGGCTCGCCGTTTCCCAAGCCTCTCCGCGGCGGTTCCGATTCTCCGTCACCGGCGGTGGTGGTGTGGGAGTCAGAGCGTGGATTTCGCGGATTTGATCTTCATCGTCTCCGGCATGAGTAGGTCTGGAGGTTCCTGCTGGTAGTGCTTGATCGTTGAACATGGTGGGAATTGAAGATTGCAGAGTGTGTTTTTATGAGTAATGAGAAGATTTTGAGTGAAGGAAGGGGAAAGAGAGAAAGAGTCCCTTTGAGAATATAATTCCAAAATGAATAGTTTGTTTGATTTGAAATTTGGGAATTATTAGCCACAAAATGTATTACGTGGAACACAATCCAATCAAAAATATCAAAATTATTATTTTACTTTTCTTCATTAATTTCTTTTTTCTCTCTTTGTTTTTTCCCCCACTCACTATTCTTTTTTTTTTTTTTTTTAAATAGATTTCCTTAATTTTTAATTTGTTTTTTTAAATAAAAAATGTTTTGGATGTACGTATAGGAGAAAACAAAGGTAGAATTTTAGCCTTTCATATTTTGGTAATGCGAGCTATAATGTAACCATCCAAGCCTACAGTTATGCTTAGAGAAGAGAACGAAACATTTCTTACGAGGGTGTGGAAACATCTTACTACCAGACGCATTTTAAAACTATGAGGCTGACGGCGTTATGTAATGGGCCAAAACGGACAACATCTACTCGCGGTGGGCTCGAGTTGTTACAAATGGTATCAAAGCTAAACACAGATGTGCCAGCGAAGACATTAGGCCTCAAGAGGGGTGGATTGTGAGATCCCACATGGTTTGAACATTCCTTATAAGGGTGTGAAATCTTTTCCTTAACAGTCACGTTTTAAAACTGCGAGGCTGACAGCAATACGTGACGAGCTAAAGCGGATAGTATTTGTTAACCGTGGGCTTAGGCTCTTACATAGAAACTTATTCCCTTTGTACTTGTTACATCAGAAAATACACATGAATGAACTTATATCATAATAGAATTGTCACAATTTAGTGCAACTTATTTTAGTTTGAATTAGTTATGGAATATATGATATTCGTAATCTTCCAGAATATATTAGTTAGGAAATATATCTTAGATATCGTAATCAGTTGAATTTGAATAGTAGTATATTTTATTTTATTATCAGGATTGAGTTAGTTTATATTTTCTTGGTAGATATTATTTAGTATCTTGTATCCTATTTAAAGGTCGTGAATATCAATGAAGATAGAACATTCGATCCCAATTCTTTTCCTCATTCTTAAATCTGTATTCTTTCGTTGAGTAACAATATTTTCATATCTATGCACACTTTTGAGTGGTAGATATTGCGACAAGAATGTCTGAGAAATGCTTAAAATAACTAAAATTTACTATTCGTACCAACAAACTGCATCTTGTTGAATAATGTTCTAAGAATTTTCCTAAGAAACATTTGAAGCACTCTTTATGTTGGGTGATCTCTTGATTTTTTTTTTTTAGAAAATACGTAAGTAAAAGACAATATAGGTTGAAAGAATTCAAGTTAGTATGCCGGGAATGTTGGGACAAAAAAAAAAATTGTAGTTCAACAATTGGAGTAGTGAGAGACCAAGCTAAAGACCTCCGAATAGAACCAAATTTATTAACTTATCGTGTATATTTAAAACTAATAAATATCTCACCAAATTTATTAAATTATCTTGTATATTTAAAACTAATAAATATCTCAATTGTGGCGTTTTGTCCCATAACTACACAAACTTACAAACCTAAATACATTTTAATTAAGTGAAGGATAAAGGGTGTGGTTGTAAATAATGGGAATTTAATATAAAATATATATTATTCTTTTTAATTGTTTTAAAATGTTTATTTCAATAAAAAAGATAATGCAAAGTAATGATTATATTTGATTTAATAATGTTGATAAATTTATTATAAAAATTAAAAAGATAATGCAATATACTTCGACTAAATCAATTTTAATTTTTTTTAAATATTAATAAATCTTCATTTAGTGTCGGCTGGACTAAGAGAAGCTGGAGCCCACCAATATTAAGTTAGTGCCAATAAACCACTCAGACATCAGCACGTGTCAAGAAAAGCAACGTTATTTCACTACAAAAGACGTGGCAGTAAATCGCTGGAGTTGGGCCCACAATGAAGGCTCTTTCCATGCAAGTGTTGATTTAGACTACCACTAAACGCCACGTGTACGGTGGAAAAACGAGTGTAGCTCGGTTTCCGTGATGGACACGGCACACGTGGCTTTAGACTGTAAAATCTAATATTTAAAAATAATTTTTTTTTGGTGAGATAAAAAAGGAAAAGGGAAAACGACAAAAATATAGTTAATTTATGTACTTGGACATTTTCCCATTACGCGGAGATAATTTAAAATTTTTGTATGGTTCCAATTGGAATGTGACACGTGGGTGATTGGAATACGTGATTTCGCGTTCTGACACGTGTACACGTGTACTTCCAATGGTTGGGGTAATTAGGTTTTTGATAATGACATCAATGGCTTTGAATGTGTTAAAATAGAAAAAATTGGTTAATGGATATTTTAATTCTATACTTTCTTGAACTCTCTAATTGTTACTATTTATTTGATTAGTTATGTACCCCTCAATCTTTTCCTTATGTCTTATTTAGGCGGCTTTGTATATGATGATGTTCCGACACACGCTAGCACTTCATTTGCTCTCTATGTATAGCCCATTCGACCTGCCCCAACCCACCATATCGTGCATTCTACCCATACCCATATTGTGCTAGCCCCCTCGAGCAAGGGATGAAACCAAGCTAACCTTTTTACCATGTGTCAGACTATAACGAAAATCTGTAGTGTAGTAGTGCACGATATGTTTAATGGACTATGATTTCAGAACTCCTCCCTATGCATGTGTGTATGAGCTGTTCACTCACCTCGGCCCACCTGATAAAGTCGTGAGCTTCAACACTTAGGGATCCGGCGTCTCGCTAAATAAACATTCACAAATATGTACCATTGAATTTATACATAAAAAATTATAGTTTTACATGTATCTAAGTATAAAGCTTTGGGTTTGGCTTCATTTTAAAGAGGACGCCGTTTCTATATAAAATTTAGTTTTATACAGTTTTCTCGTCCCATTTTGAGGACTATACATACATAGAGGCCTTTTATATACACAGCTTTACAATAATAAGTTTCCTAACCTATGTATATATATTTTTTTCAACGAAAACAGGGAAGAAAAAATGAAAAAATGAAAAAACAAAACAAAAAGAAAAGAGAAGTTCCCTCTCAAGTTATTGCCATCTTCTACCAGACTTGAGTCCCATTACAGTTTTTCTAAGACCTGTTGCAAAGCAGTAGCTTAATTCATAAAAAGTTCAACAAATAGATAAGAACTACATTATGTCTAATAAAAAAGAAGACCCTATATGCTTAAGTATAGAGACTAAGGGAAAAACATGAATGATCAATGAGAAACATAGAATTTAAACCTTGTTTTTTCCTAGGTGACATCTTTTATTTCAGAACTATGGTTCAAAGAAAGCGCAAAAAGAATGGAGGCAAATAAAAGAAATATTAGAACTCTCACATACTTGGTGCTGAGGATGACCTTATAGGCTCCTTGGGTCCTGGAGAACTAGTTGATGATCTTGTAGGCTCCCTGATCCTAGAAGCAGCGGTGGCAGATCTGGGCCTGCAAAGGCATGGAGTAGGGATTTTTAAAGGAGAAACAAAGATAAAACCCTTATCAACCCAACTGTGAGCTAAGGTTTTCGAAGACAAAACGACTCACTTTTCCAACTTCTCTACTGGTTTTGGAGTTTGATTGAAATTCAGAGTTGCATCATTTTCTGTTTCAACAGAGAGATCATCATCAGGAATGTCCATCATTCTTTCTTCATATTCTGCAGCTGCAAATCCTAATGGCTCAGCTCCTTCAATAATATTTTGACCTATGTCTAGTGGGCGAAGAACTTCATGATGGTTTTTCACATCATCCATTGAATGAGGCGAGTCTACTTCTGAATGCACATCACTATGATCTGATACATTGTCTTCATCTAAACCAGTTTTCTCCATGACTCCTCCTATGCTCTTCCTGCCCGAAGACTTTGGAGTTCTTGGCATTCCACCGTTCATGTCTTTGTTCGTAGAAGTTGCAATGCGCTTCTCACTGTCGATGCCGTTGTGTACATTGTTCTTGAGGTCTTTGACAAGCTGTAGCCTCTCAATCTCCTCATCCCTTTTGCTGATAGTGTCTTTTAGAGATGCCACCTGAAACAGGGACACAGTTATGGTTTTTGATATAAATGATTCTAATGCAAATCAAGATGAGAAATGCTCACCTGGTCCATTAGCTCTTTAACATCCTTTCCTTCCTTGCTGCTCCGTGCTGCTCCTAGCTCGATTCCCGAAACTCTCTCCGCGAACTTTAGTGTGCTCAAAGATTCAGAATATGAGTTCACATCAGGATTAAGCTGTACAAACATGACCGTCTTTGCTTGACCACCTATAGCATAGATTCCAAATTTGTACTTGTTTAGAAGTTGTGTGGCAAAATGAGTATATCATCCAAACAAATGAACAACTGAAAATAATGTTGCTATGCAATGGGGAAATAATACCAAGGGAGCTTTGAAGGACTTGAGTGAGCTTGCTATTTCTATATGGAACATGAGAACTCTTTTGTGCAAGAGCAAAAATGACATCTCCAAGTGCAGACAATGATTTGTTTATATGTTGTGCTTCTTTGAGTCGATCTCCTATAACTTCAGAGCGATCGACTCGCTCACTACCAGCAAGATCTACCAAATGAAGATTACCATGCAGTGAGGAACCACCCTTCAAATCCGTCCCACGAACGTGAATAGTCACAATACTGTAGGTTCACATGAAAAATAAGAAAGGAAGAATATGGAGAAGAGAATTTGAGAATATAATAAAACAAACAAACCTATGTGACCGACTACTTCTTTCATTCATGGCAGTGGCACCAACTGCTCTGTTCTTCAGTCCGATGTCCATTAGTTCTATAACATCTGATGTTGCATTCACTGGAAGCATGGTCGCATCCGGAACCGCAAGTCCGAAAGGTTGGGAATGAGTCAAAATCCCCAGTGTGTGAGAGTTAAGAAAAAACAAGAGATAAACAACAACGTTGGAATAGCAGTCCTTAGTTGAAATGAAATTGGTGTAAACAAGTAAACTGCATAGTTTAAAAGGATATTTTTTCTGGGAAGCATTGCTTGAAAGTAAATCCCGCACTTGTTCATTATA